GCCTGTTCCTGTACCAATACCAAGCTGCTTTGATTATTGTAGCTTTATAGTAAAGTTTGAAGTCTGGTAGTGTGATACCACCTGCTTTTTTCCCCTGAGGATTGTTCTGGCTATTCTTGGTCATTTGTGTTCCCATATGAATTCCTGTATTGTTTTTTCTAGATCTGAGAAGAATGTTGCTGGTAATTTGATGGGTATTATATTAAATCTGTAGATTGCCTTATGTAAGATGGACATCTTCACAATGTTCATTCTTCCAATCCATGAGCATGGGATATTTTTCCACTTGTTTGTGTCACCTTTGATTTCTTTGATTTCTTTGAACAGTGTTTTGTAGTTTTCATTGTAAAGGTCTTTCATTAGGAAGATGCCAAGGTATTTCATTTTTTTGTGTGTGGCTATTGTGAATGGGATTGTGCTTTTTATTTGGGTTTCTGTTTTTTGGGGAGAGGAGAACCTATTCAGTAAATGGTGCTGGGAAAACTGGCTGACCCCATGAAGAAGATTCAAACAAGACCCCTATCTATCCCCATACTCAAAAACTGGGAAAACTGGTTGACCACATGCAAAAGATTCAGACAAGACCTCTATCTATCCCCATACACAAAAATTAACTCTAAATGGATCAGAGACCTAAATGTAAAACTTCAAATCATAAGAACCTTAGAAAATGCAGGACACACCCTTATGGAAATTGGAACTGGCATCCAATTCCTGAATAAAACCTGAAAGGCACAGGCCAAAATAGATAAGATAGGCAAGTGGGACGTCATTAAACTGGCAAGCTTCTGCAGAGTCAAAGAAACCATCAAGAGAGCAGGGAGACAGCCCACAGACTGGGAAAAAGTATTTGCCAACTCCATGTCTGACAAAGGCCTAACATCTAGGATCTACAAGGAACTCAAACATGCTGAAAAGAAAAAAACAAACAACCCCATTACAAAGTGGGCAAAAGATACGAACAGACACTTCTCAAAAGAAAACATATGAGCGGCCAACAGACCCTTGAAGAAATGTTCAACCTCACTAATCATCAAGGAGATGCAAATTAAAACTACACTGAGATACCACCTAACTCCAGTCAGAATGGCAATTATCAACAACTCAAAAAAATTACAGATGCTGGAGAGGATGTGGTGAAAAGGGAACACTTCTACACTGTTGGTGGGAGAGTAAACTACTGCAACCTCTGTAAAAAGTAGTGTGGTGTTTCCTAAAAGCTCTAAATATCAACCTCCCATATGGCCCTGCAATTCCCCTACTGGGACTATAACTCAAATCACTCTATAAAAAAGATACTTGCGCACGTATGTTTATCGCAGCATTGTTCGCAATAGCAAGAACCTTGAACCAACCATGCTGTCCATCAAAAGAGGACTGGATTAAAAAAATGTGGTACATATACACGATGGAATACTACGCAGCCATAAAAGAGAACAAAATAATGAATTTCGCAGCAACCTGGAAGAAATTAGAGTTTATAATACTGAGTGATCTCTCACAGAAATAAAGATCTGAGTATCACATGTTCTCACTCATAAGTGGTCCTTGAACAGTTATTGTAACACCTATAAGAAAGGGATTGACAGCGGCGGGAAACTGGGGGCAGGGGACGGGAGGGGAAGGGAGGTGGAATTAACGGTAGTCAATATCTGTCTGGGGATGGGGGGACGCCCCTTATCATCAAGGGTGCCTGAACGATGCATATTGGTATACCTAACCCTTAACTGTACCCCACAATTTTAAAATAAAAAATATGTTTAAAAAAAATGACCAATAGCTCCTCAGTCTGCCAGCAGGTGGCCCCGCAGCTTTGGGAATGCCACCTACTTTCTTTGAACTACCCTTTTCCCAGTGCAGAAAGGGTACAGCTGTAATTTTAATAGCCTGAGTTTGATTATGAGTGCAGCTTGTTGAAGGCTAATAAAGGGTTAGCACACTGGCTGGCACAGAGCAGACAGACAAGGTATGTTTGTTAAAGGGAAAGAAGGGGAAAAAGAAGGAAGCAAAGAGTAGAAATTCTCTCTTGTTCCTCCATTACCTTCCTGCCACCTGACATACACTTGGGTCTTGGTCAGACTCTGGAGATAGAATTATATGCTTGTCCTGGCTCTCTAGGGTATTAGAATCCTAAGTTTTTCTTCCCTCCATGCCCATCAGATGCTCCTTTTTACTTACTGCTTTGTCCATGCTGAAGAGAAGCAGACACTAGGACCAGACTGAGTTCAAATCCCAGAGTGGACACCTAGAAGCGGTTCCTGGGCAATTCTTTCAGGGCTCCATGTCTCAGTTGCCCATCAACTCTACTTCTGTTTTCTGAAGTGAGATCTAATGTCTCCCTTAATGAATAAAGTCATTCAGTCTTCTGAATATATTGTACGTGTATGCACATCCCCCAAATTTAAATATCTTGAGGAAACTACCTACATTCTTCATTTCTTTTAAATTTCCACAGTATTTGGTACAGTGGATCTAAAATATGCAGGACTTTAAAAAAAATCATGTTTCACAAATAAAGTGATAAAAATGTGGCTATTTTTCATAAAATCCAGGGAACCAATTACAACCAATTAGGTCAACATACAAGGACCATCTACTAGGTGACAGGCTTTTCCCTAAGCATAAAGGAAATAAGGACTGATTAGAATTAAGCTGACCTCAGCAGATGTTAGTTTTTACTTGATATCAGTTTTTACCAATTCACTGTCATCATCTGTCAAACAATTCCATGACCCACACAAAACCTGTAGACTAGGTGACTTTTTTTTTTTTTGCATATTAGAGTTTTCAGAGAGTTTGTTTATCTACTCCTCTGAAGAAAATAGTATAGGACGTAGTGGAGGTTAATTTTTTGCCAATTTGGCTAGGTTATGAGAGCCAGATAGTTGGTCAAACACTAATGTAGATGTTGTCATGAAGTTATTTTTAGATGAGAGATAATTAAATATGTAAATTCTAAGTAAAGCAGATGACCCTCCATAATGCAGGTGGGTCACAGCCAATCAGTTGAAGACCTTAAGAGAAAAAAGACTGACTTCCCTTGAGGAAGAAGGAGTTCTGTGTTCAGACAGCCCTTGAACTTGAACAGCAACATCATCTCTCCTGGTTTCCAGCCAGCTACCTGCTATGCAGATTTTGGGCTGTTCAGTCTTCACAATTACATGGGCCAATTCCTAAAATCAATTCTCTCTCTCTCTCTCTCTTTCTCTCTCTCTCTCGTGCATTTATCTGGAGAACTCTAATACAAGGGATAAAATAAAATTTTCTTGTTAAACTCCAAAGTTTGCCCTAGGAATAAGTTCCATTGACTTTCTATTTTGAGAATTTAATATAAACAAACTAACATTTTTCTTAACATTTCTTCCCTGTACTTCCTTATAGAGATAGCGTGGGAAAAACCAGAAATCAAGCACAGAACTGAGAAGATTCTCAAACTGGATAAATACCTCCCAGATAGCTTTTGTTATCTACTTCATTGTCATAATTCTACCTTCTACCTACCTGCCAGCAACCTTGGATAACTGTTTCTCATGATCCAGAGACCATCAAGCTCAGCCACAGAGGATTTTTTATCTTGATCTGTGTAACTTGAACATACTTCCTTTTTAAGTGTGGCTTGTGGTAAGCTGATTTACAAAACTGCTGACCTGGGCGCTTTCTTCCCCTCATCTGTTTCAAGAGTAACTTCCCAGAAACTCAGGATTCTATTTTTAAGTATTTTTCTAATATTACCACAATTTGTACTGAAAACTTTGGTGGTGGCTCTAACACCTTTTTTCATGTAGAAAGATGTGACACTGTGTATCAGAAAGGTTTCCCAAACACGAAGAAGCAATCTACTAGTCTTT